TTCTAATTTGCTTTTATAAAGCTGATGTTGCAAGCGTTTACCCTTCTTTAGAGCGAATTAACTGACCGACAAACTGACTGACTGTCGGGTTTGCTGGCAGGCTAATAAGCTGACTGACTAACTGGTCATAACAGACTTTTCCATTTTGTTATGGTGTAAGTTATTTCGCACAATACAGCTGTTATTCGTTGTGGGGAATTATAAGTGGGGACCTACTAGTCATAGTGTTGGAGAGAATCGTTTGTACAACTACGCAGCGTTTGTGGCCCTCAGCTATCACGGGATAATTTCTACCGGTGGTCACTGCATGTGCGATGATATAACAAACGACAACCTGTGGATCGGAGATTTTTGGAAAGTTTATGTCCACTGAAGTACAGCTGCGTGAATAACTTTGTGACAGAACAAAGAAAAACAGTGAACTAGTTAAATAGAATTTACTATCATATAAAACTGTCCTCTGGCTATATGCCTTTCGGCCGAGGATTTTAAATTTCGCAAATTTTCGCATCTAGGTCAAATAAAAGCAATCCTCGCAAATCAGGCGATGTTGTGGTTCAGTGAACTTATATGGTTCACTAAAACAATTATTCACCTCAGCGTCAGTGAAAGTGGTGGATATTGTAACAATAGGATTCAAGTAGAGATTGTTTAACGTGAGGTGACCTTAGCGCAAAGGTCACGTGTGTGCAACTAGCGAGCAATGTCACGAGAACACGAGCTCTGAATATATATCCATTGAGTTCTGAGTTAAGCCTCTTGTATCTTGTTGTTTGTAATCTTGCGGCTCGTTACAGATATTTTTCCTCCACTTCGGTGAATAATTGTTAATTATAGCTTATATTCTCCATCGTTTATTTGCTCACCTATTGTTTACATTTAGTTTGGTCGGGCGTTGTTTAAAACGAGCCTTAGGCTCGCGGGATACTTCAACCGTGAAAGAGATGAAATGCCAGATTCGTGTGACTCCTTTTTTCGTACGGATGGCGATCACTTCTATGTTCAGACATTAAATAAAGTTATTCTCATCCTTATTATTACAGAACTTTTACTGAAAATTATTTCAAACTATTTGAGAGTAACAGGTGATTATGATTTTAGTTTTATTGAAAGTGGAATGGAAGTACGTAAGAGTAGAATATGACATACTAGACATAGTGTTGGAGAGAATCGTTTGTACAACTACGCAGCGTTTGTAGCCTTCAGCTATCACTGGATAATTTCTACCGGTGGCCACTGCATGTGCGATGATAAAACAAACTACAACCTGTCGACCGCAGATTTTTGGAAAGTTGATGACCGCTGAAGTACAGCTGCGTGAATAACTTTATAACAGAACAAAGCAAAAAAGTGAAAAAGTCAAATAGATTTTACTATCATATAAAACTGTCCTCTGGCTATATGCCATTCGGCCGAGGATTTCATATTTTGGAAATTTTCGCATCTCAGTCAATTAAAAGCAATCCTCGCAAATCAGGCGATGATGTGGTTCATCGAACTTATATGATTCACTAAAACAATTATTCACCTCAGCGTCAGTGAAAGTAGTGGATATTGTAACAATAGGATTCAAGTAGAGATTGTTTAACGTCAGGTGACCTTGGCGCAATGGTCACGAGTGAGCAACTAGCGAGCGATGTCATGAGAACACGAGCTCTGAATATATATCCATTGAGTTCTGAGTTAAGCCTCTTGTGTCTTGTTGTTTGTAATCTTGCGGCTCGTTACAGATATTTTTCCTCCACTTCGGTGAATAATTGTTAATTATAGCTTATATTCTCCATCGTTTATTTGCCGACATATTGTTTA